CACTTTTGTCATATTTAAGAGTATGATCGGATTGGTATAATCTGGACTCTCAATGATCCATTGTATCAACTATAATTACAGTGATTACTATGCTAATAGAAGTCAATAGTATTGTTCTAGTCATACATTTTTAAACAAGTGACAATAATGATTTTGTCTTTGCCGCTTCAGGAACGCAACGATAACTTAAACTTTTGAACACTACAAGTGCACATGGAAACGTTTGTCCTAGTCAATCATATTTACAACGTCTATACGACAAAATCGGTGGTAGACTTAGATGAAATATTGGAGCCACAAGAGCTGTTCGAATGTATGCAGGCTTGACATGTTGGCTACGGCTTGGATTAGTACCTCGAACTCGCGACTCAGTAAACAGGTGCTTCAACCATCTAGTAACGTTTTATAAAAAAGAATAACATAAAAGTTTTTCATTGAAGAATATTTTTTTAACTTTGAATTTTCATATATTGTTTTGTTGTGTTGTTACTGGTGCAGTAGTGTACGTAAAGTATTTCTTAGAATTAACAATTAATATTCGTCATTTTAGTAACCTACGTCCTATCACGCAGTTTATTCAGGTGACATGAAGATAACGTCAGATATTGAAACACGTCATCGCCATTTCTGTTTTATCTTGGACCTCCAAAAACGTAGTAAACTGCCAGAGAAAACACGCACGCTGTTCTAAATTTAAACATTAAAATACACAATCGGTTCTAAATCAGTTGCAAAGATTCAACACCAGTTTACCGATTTAAAGGGCATGAATTATATAGACGTAATATTTCTAACGTCATATTGATTCTTTCACATAAAGGCGAATATCGTTAAAAAGGTACGTCACGTAGTGCGACTTTAATATTTCACTTCTATAGGACATTAAGTCGTACGCTTCAGAGAAATCTGTAAAAGGGACGTTTTTTAAAATGAGGTTTCGTTAAGTAAAATCTGTTGAATTAACGCCGCGCCGGCGCCTGTCGTGAGTAATGATAAGTAAGTAGTCCTAGTAGTAGGAAAATGTAGGACAACGTGTTACATACACACGTATTACATATTTTTTGGTATGAGATGTTTGATGAATAACGCAATAAAAGACTATTTTTCCTATTTATAATACATACAAAACATGTTGCTTGTTAATTTTTATGCTACGTCATTTTGTTTTGAAAATTAAAAGTTCTAAGCCGACATGAATGTAAACAGAAAAATGTTGACATTAAGAGTAAGTTTATATAACGTAAACTTCGCTTTGTTGTAAAAGTAAAAATGCGTCGGCAATGTGAGAACCGCGATAAGGCATGGCAGGAAGCATGGCGTACAATTCGATTGCAAATATTGGTGATAACGTACCGTCACACATACTAAGTGTCCCACTTGTGTTAATAAGCACATTGTTGTGCAGATTGGGCGTCGGTACCGGTGCGGACGAAGTGAGTGGCCTCGACTCGACAGTTTCTTGGTGCAATCGTGCCGAGGATTCACGCGGTCGAAATATATTTGTTTTTTAAATGGTCATTTTTAATTTCTTACTTTCTACCGTAACCGTTTTAGAATTAGTTAGGTAATAGACAGTATTATCTAATTTGACTACTAACATTGTCCCGCTCGCATTCGGGGCTCTGTATTGTGTAATATGTACACATTTGTTCAACGCCGTTTGCATTTTATTTCTATAACTAGTTTCTTTTTGCACTCTTGTGTCACTCGCGTGGACGCGTCTGTGATGATTTTTTCACTACGTATAGTAACTTTCATTTTCCTCAATTAAAAGGTACAATTTGTTAATCCAGGAAATGATTTGCGTGCTTAAGTACATCCAGATTCATTAAGCTATTTATGCGTGATTGATTAACAAACATTTGCTGGAGAGGACTGGCTCGCTGAATTAAGCATTTACAATTTTTAAGCTTTATTCTATCGCCGGTCTGGGTTATGGTACTTACTCAATAAAGCATGATCATAAGCTTGCTTAAAATGAGTATGCTCTGCAACTGTTCATATTTGCCAGCAATAAGCGCGCTTTAAGCATGAGACGTGATATTTGGCACCAGGCTCTCGGCCGAAATGGATGTACAAAGATATGTTGACAGTGTATCCATATAGAACTTAATAAAATGATCAAGCTTACAACCGAATGGTGTAAGAAAAAAAAGCTAAGTTTTTCTTCCCCCCAACGTTACATATCGAGGGTTTTTTATTTTAAATTGACGCAGTAATTGTCGCGAATCGAGATCGATTTGATAAAACATGCTCATAACTCAGACTAAATAAAAATGAGTTTTTATTTCTGTTCAATCCAGACGCGCTCGGAGCACACCCTTCTCTTCTTAAACCCGCGCCTCAGGTTTTTGAGCATGCTCATTACTAGCAGTGGTTGCGACATCGTGCTACTAATGAGCACTTGCTCAATAAAAGCATGCTTTCGTTTTTCTTTTACTTTACGTCTGTCCGTACCTTTAAAGTTTCAGCTAACACTGCGATCAGGAATCGACCATAGTCTGTTTTATTTTTATCCTCATTGTAGGTCAAGAGTTATACTCAAAACTTTGACTTTGTACAGTGTACGAGGGCGGCACTGAAAATTTTGGGAATCAAGGAAGCGACACAACATTGCTATTTAAAAATGTATTTATTGCTTTTCGAAGTATTCTCCGCGAAATTTGACACATTTTTCCATACCATGGAACCAATCATTGAAGCAACCATTCTATTCGGAAGTTGGGGTCTCGTTTTGGCTCTTGATTTTGTTTTTTTTACTGTACGGCGGATGGTCTAATAATTCTATGTTTTCTTGCTCTAAAAACTCTTTTGTTCTGTGTGCGGTGTGAGAACTCGCCTTGTCGTGATGGAGGATGATGCGGCGGTTGCAATTCTCTTTACGGAGTTCAGACACGACCTGTGGCAAACAAATGCTAGTATACCATTCTGCACTAACCGTTCTTTGTCCCTCAAGAGGAATAGTCGTAACATGACCGGGCCGGTTTTGGAGACAAACGTGGCCACCATTTTTTTTGCAACACTCCGTGAACAAACAATTTTTGTTGGCTTTAACTCATTTTCGAACACCCAAACTCGTGACTGTTTTTTTGTCGAGTTCGTACGCGTATATCCAGGATTCGTCATCTGATACGATGTTGTATACAGCATTTGAGGATCCTGCGTGGAATCTTTCGAGAGTTCTGACGCACCAAGTAACGCGAGCCGCTTTTTGCTCTTCACAGAGCGAATGCGATATTCATCGGGAAAACAACTTTTTTACATATTTTTCATACAAGATTATTTGTATTTGACTCATGCCAATGTCTAAAGTTGCCTGAATTTCGCGGTATGTCACATGTCGATCTTCCTCAATCAGCTTACGCACAGCATCAACGTTTTCTTGGGTGACTGCAGTTTTTGGACGACCTTGACGGGGATCATCACTGAGCTTGACACGTCCACGTTGAAATTCAGTAAACCAGCGATAAATTGTGGTTTTGGATGGGGCTTCACCACCAAATGCAGAAATCATCTGGTCAACACATTGTTTTTGTGTTAAACCACTTCGAAAGTCATAATAAATCATCGCTCTTGAATTTTCTCGAGTCAATTCCATTTTCTCAACGACTAAACAAGTTTGGCAAAACCTTGTGACAAGACCGAGAATCTTTTTTTAAAATAAATAAATGGTATTCGATTTTTAAAACCAAGGAGCTTTCAATTAAAAAGATTTTAATATGACAGGAACAGTGGAAATATTCCATTCCCGATACTTTTAGTGCAGCCTAGGTAATGAGTTGTCGGACATACATGTCGATGGGTTGTGATTCACTAGAATAGGACAGTATCACATAATGCAGCGACACGGTGGCAAGTTAAGGGCACTTAAGCCATTGTTTCGTTTTGGCAACGCAGCCTAGGCCAGCGTTAGGTTTCCTGTAAAACGCCGAGATCCGTGATAAAATAAGGACGTCCGTTTCCTCTGCGCGAACTTTGCATATAACGAGAAAGTCACAGGTAAATCGTTTTCATGGCTCATTCAGTCATTTGTAGACGGAAGAACCTTTTAATTTTATTATATATTCAACTCACGTATTTTATAATTCAAAGGTTATAACGAATATTGTAATTGGCGTGCGGCGTAAACGTCATCGTAACCCGACCCCACGCGTCCAAAGAAACCCTACGCCTAAAATCATTACAGCAATAAAAAGGAAATAAAATAACATTGATGGATTTTGAAATGGCAATTATAAAAACGAAGACCGTAGACGAAGCCAAGTGGGCGCCATTGTTCTTGACCTCTACGTGTTTCTTTATGAGACTTCTCTAACGATATTATTATCAGTCACGTGTAGTCCTAGAATTTTTGCATATCTTTAATTGCTTGTACATGCATATGAATAACAAGTATATTCACATCTTTATTAACTGTAATATATAATATATATTCTAGATGGCCCGACAGACGTTGTTCTGCCTTTTCTGGTAAGTGGCACGGAGAGTTTCACTTCGAATTCACTTTGGACTTATTACTGTGTAAACTTACTAATTGCTCGACTTCAGCATCTATCGGTTCCACATTTACTAAATTTCTTTTTTGGTACTGAACCGACATTTTACGTTATGAAACTGAGTCGTTTTGATTCATAAGTATACTAGTATTAAGTATATATCCTATTGAATTCTAGCATAGTTATGAACAATCGTCTCTAAAAAACATTTGCGTGAATATAACCTCAATCGTAAAAGTCACTCAGAAGTTACACGATCACTAACAGACGCACCAACGATTAGTTTACCTTAAAAAGAAAGAATTTACTAGAATTTACTATCAAATACAGTGATTTCTTTCGTAAAACAGGCTGTTATAATTATAAGTCTTCTTTTGTATCATTACTTACTAAGTATAAGTAAATAACGAAATGAACTTAATATCGCATGAGAGCTAAGCAATAAGATGAAGACCAACAAATGTACACTAATATTAAATTATAATACAACTCATAAACACTTACTTGAGAAGAAGGTTAAGGGAACTATCATTCCTGGTCGTGGGGACGTCCTTTACACTGGAAGGTTCACTACGAACTCCTCGGAGAGAGAGTCTCAGTTGCCGCGGGATGGAGCTGAGGAGACCACTGCTGTTTCTTCTCTGATTAAGACTCTTAGAGCGCGTCAGTTTGTTAGACTCAATATCCACAGCTGGGGGGATCGCGGATACTTCGTCCTTGCAAATAGTCACGCTAGACGCATTTGTCTTAATGATAGTTGGTACAGCAGCAGTCTTCATTTCTCCCAGTAGCTTCTCCCACGGGGACTCGACATCTTCCTCCGAGATCGTCTCGAAACTCCTAGGTCCGACGGACGACAACGTCTTATCTGACATTTCGAAGATTATCTAATTAAAATTAAAAGGAACGGAACGCAGCTTAACAGACACCTACAACACTTCGTCACTTTGGATTTTTAGTTTCTTGACAACACTTCACTCTTATCATAATATCCATTTGTAAATCATAATGTTTGGGATAAAAATGTTGACACTGAAACAAGAGAAAAAATGTATATTATTATGGATACAATGTATGACATATATCTAAAGTGATGTTAAATATCTATCAAAACATATTATTGAAAAAAAAATCAGATATTGTATTATTAAAACTAAAGAATATGTAGTTTTATTCATTACATGTCTTACTCAACAATAAACATTCTTCAAAAATTATTTGTAAGGTTTATCTAAGCAATAAAAAAAATACTACGCGAGTATGAAAACATGAGCTACATTCCGTTCAAGGTATAATTTAATGTACTGCTAGCTATGAATTAGTAAACGCGTAATTACCACTAACAAAGTTGTGTTTGAAGAGAAAGGTGTTCAAAAACTAGGCAGAAAGCCGAAAATGAAAGCTGAGTATAGCTTTAACTTAGACTTTCCATTTGTTTAGCGAAACGAAATCATGAAAACAACACTCTGTGAAAATAACCATTTGCTTTGAAACGGGATTTTGATTTACACTTGCAGTGCAAAGCTAATTAAATATTTTGTCACTAAAATAACACCCAAGATAGGTGTCAGAACGTAGGTGTTATTTTTGCGACCTAAAATAGACTATATTAAAATTTAAAGAGTTCCCACTGCTAGGCACATGCCTGATCTCATTTCTGAGAGGGGTCTTAAAATGTTATTAAAATTGCGTGCAATCTAAATCTCATTATGTGATCACTAACAGTTTTATATAATAGATTTCTACATCTAAACTGTTATTTGATTCCTATATTTTACTGCTAGTACGAAGTAAAACTACTCTAAGTGTAATCAAAGCATGATTACACTTAGAATAGTTTTACTTCGTCAAAGTGAAATTCAGCTAAATAAATAAATTTCCTATTAATGGCAATAAATAAATCATGAAATTAAAGGCATACATTTTTTCTTTGTGTTTAGTCACAGAATAAATAATAGTACTACGTAGTTTAGTTAACAACTGTTAAAATAGTTTATTCCTTTGTATCGTGTTCACACTTTTCAACACCATGACAAAGTTGGTAAAACTCCTTTTGTGACTGAAGTCTGAACTGAACCTACGTTAGGTTATTTCCATCCTCTCATTTATATCGGCACTTAACCGTACTGCACCATCTGCTTATATTAATATTTGAATAGTAAGAGATCTTGTATATTTACAGCATGTGAGGCTTTCCATCTTCATTTATGGGAGACAACGCTTCAGTAGCTTTTTCGGGGTTACGGGTTTTCATAGGTTGCAATAACCACTTATAACTATGTGAACTGTTAACTGTACCTTGTTAATCACAACCATGTTACAAAAAAGTTAAACCATAAAATAGTTAACAGTCCAGTTGATGATAAGTGGCTGTTGCTGTCAATGGACATCCAAACTAACGTTAAATAAAGAAGATTTCAGGCGCATTTGTACCACCCGGGTCTGAGATGGAACACCACACATATTATAATTATACTATTTTCACGTTTTACCTACTGTATGACATCCAACATCACACTGCTGACTGAAGAAACAACTGGCGGAAAATCCATTCAAAAATACTGATCCAATATTACATAAAAAGGATATGTGTAACATGCGAAGGTATCGCCTCTGTATTTATCATGGTACATGCTGAGCGTGGTGATGGGAAAATCTTCTAAAAACGCATGCCAGCACTCTTGGATGGACTAACGACCAGTAGATGGTTAAACACTTGGAGTTGTTGTTGTTATGTTAAATCAAAACACAACAGAGAATTCACTACTGCTTGGTGACATTTAGAGATATTGATAATAAGGTAGCAAAAATAAAAACGTATTAACTAGGGGTGTTAGTCTGCCCAATATTATCTTGTTTATCGTGTATTGTGTGCACTCTTTCTTTGCCTCGTAGCAACAGTGTATCCTACTTCAGTTTCAGAAATGGTTATATATTTGGCGGAACTTTAATATAATGTAAAAATATTCAACATGTGGTCAATAAAAAATATTTGTTGCATATGAACGTTATAGTCCGCCATTTTCAAGATTATTACTACAAGCTTACGTGTTTGCAACTACTGTCGTATTGTTAAGATACGAGTACGTTAACTTCATATTATATGAATTCTACCTTTTTCTGATGTCATCAACTCATGAGTAATATATTCCAAGTAAAAAACATTATGACTCGTGCGGAAAAAATTTGTTAAAATTTTCTAACAGCCAAAAATAATTGTATAATTAATAAAATAATAAATATTTCAAATAATAAATTTAATTTTAAATTAAAATAATAAATTTTTCTGACAGCCTAATATTTTTTTTAATTAATAGATAATACGACATTATGAATATTTTCCTGTATTTTTCAGTGTAAAAGGCAAAAGTTCAACATTAAAATAAAAAAAGAATTTCTGAAGTATACAGACTATTTCTATTTCTTTTGTTAAGAAGACAAACATGTATCCATTCTGATATATCACACTTATATACAATATATATCTGATGGTATGTGGATGTGGTGGTCCATATACACCTCCGTCTATCTTCTGTTAAAAATTAACATGGAGATGCTTGTTATCGTGTTACCAGCAAATGATCGAATACCGTCACGCATAATGCAACACAATAGTCAATATGGTGATATTTGAGGCTGGTGTTTTTCCAGAGTATAGTTCTTCTACAGTCGAGCCGATCCGACCTACTCTTGCTGCAGCCACAATCGCAACAGCATGGCTTTACCACGTAGATGTACGTAAAATATTTGAGAAAATGCGTTATTTTAGATTTTCAAGTATAAAAGTAGATCGCAGATATATTTAAATGAATAGTTTACGCAAGCGATTGTGGTACTATACGGAAATATGTTGTTTAATTTTAGATAATGGCTCAAAAGAAATATAATACAAGTCGGATCGAGACGGACTATATATATTTTGAATGCGCTGGTCTGCCAAGTAGCCCGCGATTGGCGGATGTAGGTCAATGCTCTAATGAACGCTATATCACAACTTTATGATATTTAATGTAAATTTATGATATTTGTATATATAAACAAAATTTTGCTGTGACTTGAGCCCCAGAAAAGCAATCAATAAATTAAATTTATGTAAGATAATTTAAATATTTCGAAGAATGTAAAGTGGGGTAGTAACATTAGAGCGTATAAATTATGTCCCACTGCTATACACTGTACTTATTCTTCTCTGCTCCAGTGCTTGTTGACGGACTTCACATATTTTTTATAGCATAAGGGTGACAACCGAGCACACAGTTCACCTGATGGTAAGTGGATGCTGTGGCCTGTGACATACATGGATTAATAATCAAAATGCAGATGCGTTGTATAGGACTAAGATGGAAGCCTGATTAGTAAAACGAAACGGGTGTCCGGTTCTCTACACTCACCATATGAAACACAGCAGCATTAAGGTGCTATTTTACGCTGGTATTCTGTGAGAGCGTTAGCCTTCCCCGGTCGAACCGACCCATTCATGCTACAGCCATAATATTGTTTGCAGCGTGGCTCTACCACGTCTAAATAAAAATAATAATTTTGTGGATGAGTAGGTTTTCTAACGATGTTTTCTTTCATCATCATTCAAATTATTCCAATAAGTGCAAATGGAGATCGAACCCCAATTGCTCGCGAATTGTTAAATTACAACGACCGCATAGGCAGTAGCGTCTTCCTCCAAGCGTGGCAAGCATATAAGGCAAGTGGCTGCCAATATTTGTACCTTTCAAATCGGAGCACCGGAGTGCATGCACAGGGCCTAGCTACTGTCCCACCCGATGGTGGTGAGATGTAGCCAAAGATGGTAAAGCGCATTGGCTTAGCTTAACAAAAGCCTGTTTACTCTTGCCTTGAAGACGTCCACATTGTAATAAATTGGGAAAACATTGCAGTCCTTTGCTGAATGCATTACGCGCAACGGAGCAAACCGTTTGGTTTGAACGCGTGGTATATCGATAACAAAAGGGTGCAGACTGGCTAAAGCGTCTGATTGGCATCTGGTACTCCCTTTTTTTCCTCTTTTTTTTACTTCTTATAAGCCAGTACTTGACCACAATCCCTCGTGGTAGTAAGTGGTGACGTAGCCCTAGATGGTAAATCGCACTGTCTTAAGCTGAACACATATTTGTCAGCACTTTACTAGAATTATGACGCTCTCACAGAATATCAGCGTCAAATAGCAGCTCAACGCTGCTGTGTTTCGTGTGGTGAGTGTTTTTTCTGAAAACGAGGTATTTCATCTTAGTCCTCATGAGTGACAACGCATCTGCATTTTAATTCGTAATCGAGGATTGATGTAGATGTCTATGGACCATAGTGACCACTTACTATCAGGTGGACAGTGTGCTCGTTTGTCATCTATTCTTATTAGAAAAAAATACAAATTTACAATTATTTGTTTTGTCATTGTATATAACTTTTAAATAAATAAAAAATAAGTTACTATATATCCTCATATAATATCCTCAATATGTTGATTTACTTTATAGTAGACATACCTATTTACCTATTTAAAACAATATGTGGTGGCGCTGTCGTCGCGCCGCAAGCGAAACACACCGAAGCCTAAATCGCAATCAAAAATTCCGAATCATAAACAGTATATATAGAACATCTCCGAACTATCACTCGGAGTGTTGGCCGCTCCCCGAGCAGAACACCTTGCCCGGCGGGAGATCTCCCCCTTTTCCTCCCACGGCCACACTGGTGACTAAGTGACGTGATCTTAACACGCAACCAACAACCTTCGGAAACTTCAAGCTTCATCATTGTCATAGAATACCCCATCCATTCGCTCTCGAGCAGATATCGTCTGCAGTCTTCATATCCTGCAACCATCTAGCTTCACAAGGTTCATCGCAGCACTGAAATAATA